TTATTTTCATCACATCTCAAGTTTAATTTGATAGATAATTGGTGTGATGCCTTGAAGATCTAAGTGTATTTGTATTGGTCAAACTTTGTGTATCATTTCCTCATTGGCGTTTTAAAGGAAAAACTTATAAAATGCACCAATTTCCATTTTTTCGAAAGCAAAAAACTTATAAGCTCCATCATTTCATTTATAAACTAAGAAATTTGTATTGGTTAAACTTATAATTTCCATTTTTACAAAAGTGAGAAACTTATAAAATATACCAATTTTCTCATTTTTCGAAAGCGGGAAACTTATAAAATGCACCAATTTCCATTTTTCAATTGCATACTAGTTTTAATCTCTAAATCGAACGAGTTCAGAAAGCAAGAAACTTACAAATTGTACCAAAAATAGTTTTCGTACCAACATTTTCCGTACTAAATTCCCACAGTTTCTTTGATAGTGAATGTCACTTAAACATAACCAACATTTCCTAAAAATAAATATATAATAATGTAAAACAAAATGTTCTTCCGTGCATTCTCCGAAGTCACCCAAAGCGGTACACTGTCAACATCGCTCTTTCTTTGACAGGAACATCGATTAGTTTTACCTTCCATTACAACCAGAATGCGTCGACCAACACTTTGACGCTTGTTCAGGTCATGAGTACGAATCTGCACATAGGCCGTCATACGTCTGTAAAATGAGTATTTCGAGATAAAGCGCGTAGAAATCAAGGTGAAGAAATGCAATACCGTTGAGGTCCATGCTATCTTTATCAATCACCTCACAAAATAACAAAACGTTTGCCAGAATTTCAGAAAGGTGTGTAGAGTTTGTGATTCAATCCATTTGCATTATAAATTGTATCGGAGTAGAGTTTTATTGCATCTAGTACGAATTAAAATGCAATTATACATCAGGTTCCCAATTTCATGGCATTTAAGTTTTAGAATGCAATTCTAATATTAAAGTGTGCCAAAATAAAAATGAACTGCTCACTTATTTTTTTGCTCTCTTTGTAGTCCCCCTCGTGTATGGAGTCCTCGTAGATGGCGCGGGATGTCGTAGGCATGTAGATCGTCGCATCTTTGTGAAAGGTGGCTTATCCCAAGACATGGCTATGGTGGCCTCTATCGGCATTTCACTCGCACCGTCTACAAAATATTGCAGAGGGCCCTAAACATTTAATCGAAACTTGTACCATTGACCGTAACCAATCAGATCAAAGTTTTCCCACAAAAAACTTATCGTCCCTCTCCGCCATGCCGTTAGTGGAAGCAACTGGGTTCTGCTCAATGTTTCTCGCACCAACGTGAGGAACTTCCTTGTTGTCATCGTCCCACGAACCAACACAAACTTCTTCATTGTCGTCGTGTACGAATGGTTCGGGGTCCATGCCGCCTCCGCCTGCTACTGCAAAACAACATACTCAATATAAAACCCCAATATATAGTTCAGTAGGTCTAGCATGCATACTTGGGAATGACGAGACTCTTTACTACAAAACAGAATTATCGAGATAATTAACACACATACCGTTCCCCTCTTGCATGTCAATGCCCATCTCTTTGTCATGGTCATCAGGCGACGGGTGGTGGCCTCCTCCGTCTACAATAAATGAACAATTTCACTGACATAAACGAGCTCAACATTTGATGCCAATAAGTGTACAATAAATCAACATTGCAATATTTAACATGAACAAGCTCAATAAGTGTACAATAAATCATACTTAACGCACATACCTTGTGATTTCGCACAAAACAAGTCACGGTCATTGTCGCCTTCTCGTACGTCTAAGTCATAGATCCATTGTTTACGAACATGTCAGTGACCGGGGTAAAGTCAACATTGTCATAAAGAAATATAGTATGCATATGGTAAATTACCTGATTCTCTAGGCTCGGGGTCCACATCAGTCGCAGGTGCAGTGGTTATAGAACTGTATGCGAGGATGACGGTAGATATCCCTCAGTTTTTTAAATTCGTCAGACACGTGCTACATGTTTTCGAGCTTCATGGTGCAAAGCTGCATTTCTATGAGGATTCTTTGATCCAGCAACATGCCCTGAACTTTATCTCTCGCGAAGCTGGATCCGACCATTACTGTTGGTCGTGCATAAAAGGTGGACGGCACATGCATGAGAGAAGTAGCTCTATGCACGTAGGGAGTGGAAAATGTCCTCCTCTGCCCACTTCATCGAACTCTATCACCGTCACTATCCCTACTATCATGGTCCATCGAGTCCTTACCTTCATCATCTCCGCTTTCATCGGCTCTTGACTCCTCCCCATCGCTACTGCCTCCCGGACCCTCATGGTCCTCATCAGAAGCTCATCCTCGAAATTACCTACATCGAAACTGCCTAATGGCTCTACTTAGAACTGTGGAGCAACACTGTCCCTGGCAAGGTCGTCAAACATAGGCACAAGAAGATCATTGAACATCACGAGTGGCGATATAAGGTTGTCCACGCTCGACTTCAGTGGGATGCAACGTTATGTACACGCGTAGCTACAACATAAATGTATTCATTTAGTATCACCACATATGTACGGTACAATGACGAATGGAACGAATGAGTACATAGAACTTAAAAAATTAACGTGTACATTCTTGAAGAAAGTGTCGTAGATGCTGCGGATGTTTTGTTGATGTCCAGCTGAGAAGCTATGGGGAATGTTGACCGAATCGATCACCAATTTTGGGCATCACCTTGAATGCCCATATCAGTAAAAGCAGAAAAGGAACGTGAGTTGATAATGAAAGCAAACACTAGATACATTTGCATTAAAATAATGAATACGTCATATAAAAGTACATGTATGGCAATGGAAAAGTCGTAATTGTGTAATTAACAGCTTTCTCCTACTTTTTCTTAGTATCCAAAAAATTCCTTGTCCAACTGCCTCGAAAGCCCTTAATCAGACATCTGTATGAGACTCTACCCCAAGGATAGGAAAAAATATCCAGATCGTCGACGATGGACAACATCTCTATATCGATATCAACATTGTTATCTGGAGCATTGAAGACTCCTTCAACGATCAAAGTGAGGCCGAGCTTATACCAATCGGCCCAGGCGTCAACGAACGGATAAATGTCTACTCGAATGCAGCAAGTACCACCCACAATAGATGGATTGCAAGTGAAAGCAAAGTTTTGTCCACTTTACACAAGTAACATAAACATTCAAACCAAAGATATGTCAAGTGTCAATCAAGATTTCCACCAAATGTATACAACGAGTACCATGCATATAACTTCAAGTCATCCTTTAAGAATGTATTTCTACGAGATCGAAATTAGAACTAAACTTAAATTTTTCATCTCTAAATTTTCAATTTTTTCGCATCATTGACGGTAAATGTCCGTAACAATTTATTCCTTTGTTTGGAAATGAAATAAGTTAATTCCACGCAAACCAAATGTTCAAAAACACAAATTGAGCAAATGAATAAACATATGGATTGCAAGTGAAATCAATGTTATTTCCACATCAGACAATTAACACAAACCAATGCAACCACAGATATGTCAATCAAGATTTCCACCCAAACGCATAGACCGAGTACCACCACAATAGTAAACTTAGTGAAACAAGGATATTTTAGAAGTAGACAAGTAACAAAAATATTAAACCCACAGCATCGTCAAAGTGTCAATCAAGATATCTTCGGGTATGCGTACGAGACACATTGTAAAGTACACGAGTACCACCACAACCAATGCACTCATTTCTTGAATGTATTGTAGGAACTAGCCATGTTAGTGCACATGTCGAAACTTGATTGCAACGAATTGCCATATAGATGCAAAAGCTAAGTAATGTAATTGATTCTAGAACACTTCCAAATTTTAAATAATGAACATAATAGTGGATGGCGAACATAAATTTGATTGAGAGCATATCTATTTAGCAGATTGTGAACAACACTACTCATTCAAGTACTTTACTTTGGTCATGTCATCCGGTCCTTCATGTTCAATTTATCCGTATCTCGCAAACGCATTTATCTGGCACATCGTTCACAGTGAAAAGCCTAAAAAATGACATCTAGTACAATTTTCTCCATTTTGACTTCATACTATTCAATAAGTTTGACCAACAGTCATGAATCAAGGTAAGACATTCATGACCCTAACTTGTAATTCCTACAGATTTTTCCATCTCTATATAAAGCAGCTTGGGAAGGCTCAAACATCAAGAAGAAATTTGAATTTGAATAGACATAAATCACAACTAGACTCTTTAACATTTTGCTTTTTGCACGGAGAGATGAGCATATATGACTATAAATGGTAGAAAAATTACCATGACAGCAGTGCAGAAAGATTGAACCATTTTCCTTAATAAGATTGATGATTAGGAAGTACTAATTGAAGAACCACACAACTCAAAAAGCTATTTACTATAGCATTATATTCATTTTCTGGAGGTATTTTTAAGTACATGCATTGCAGTCAAATCACTCTAAAATCACATTTGTACAAACAGAATATAAAGATACAATTTTTACATTGGATGTGACCAGCTTAGAATCTAGACTAACAAGTTGGAAATAAATATTTTCTTTGCCCATGTCTGAATTTAAATAATGCTTGATCATCCACAAATTTGGCATATTGAATCGCCAATGATCTCTCAAAATGTAGCCAAGTTTTGAAGAGCACAAGATGCCAACAAAAGAAACAGAACACTGTATCGACGATCATTTGATGGAGTTTTCCTTCGATGCCTGAGTAATGATGAAGCAACACAAGTCGTGGAAGAAGCCACTCTGGAATTTGTGGTGCCCATCAGTCTGGACATAAACTCCATTTTTGAATAAAAAGGATGGGGGTATTACTGGCCAACTATGGTACAAGACTCTATGGATTATGCAAGAAAATGTGAAGCTTACCAAGTCCGTGGAATTTCATCTATCAACCTCCAGAACCATTACATCCGACAGTAGTTTCATGGTCCTTTGATGCATGGGGTCTTGATATAATTGGACATATAACTCCAATGTCTTCAGTAGGGCATGCATACATTCTCGTCGGGATCAACTACTTCTCTAAGTGGGCCGAAGTCATACAATTGAAGGAAATAAAGAAAGAAAATGTTGCAGATTTCATTCATATCCAAATCATTTATCGATATGGTGTTCTACGGCATATCATAGCCGATAATGGCAAACCATTCTGCAATAGCCACAAAAATAATTTATGTACAAAGTTTGGGTTCAAACAGTATAACTCGTCCATGTACATTGTGGCAGCTAAAGGATTGGCAGAGGTGTTCAACAAAATAATATGCAGTCTGCTAAAAAAGGTTGTCTCTAAATTAAAAAGAGATTGGCATGAGAAAATCGGAGAAGTCTTATGGGCTTATCGAACTATTTATCGGTCTCCAACACAAGCCACTTCTTATACCTTAGTATATGAAGTAGAAGCTGTACTTCCTCTAGAGTGTCAAATCCCATCACTTCGAATTGCCATCCAAGAAGGTTTGACAACTGAAGAAAATGCCCATTTTCGATTGGAAGAGCTAGAAGCTTTGGATGAGAAGATGTTAGAATCACAAATGCACCTGGAGTGCTATCAATCTTAAATGGCGAAGAATAGCACCTTGAATGATGAGTAGAGTAATATCACTGCTAGGAGTAGGTTAACATCCTCGAACCTCTAAACATATCTTGTGAAAACAATTGCTTAAACATGTGCAATTAAAGAAAGAAAATGTGAAATGGTTTGAATGTGTACATAGATATGATAATCAATTCATTTTTATAGTTACGAGCATGCATATACACCCACAGCACAATACGGAAGTTACCTAAAGAGATACAGTGCCAAGAAATATCAACGTCATTCGAAAGATTATTGCACCAGCAATTCCATAAGAGAGCACCCAATTCTGTTCTCCCATCGTAACATGGATTTCCAACAACAAATGAGATAAATGATAGTTAAAACGTCAGCATCTATTTCTCATAGTAAAATGAGAATTTTACAGCACAAAATGCTTAAATTGTATGTCATATTAAAGCTTGATGTTACACCTGATATGTATGTAACACTTTAAAATACTTGAATATTAAAACAAACACAAAAAGATTGTCTACCGATAAACTCTGCTCCAGTAGGTACCTGAAAGAAAAAGATAAAAAAAGAAAAGAAAAAAGGACCCACAATCACACATTTCATACCAGAACTGAAGATGGAGTATGAGATTTAATTTGACCACAATAATCACCTTGGAAATCAAAAGTAATAAAAGCAATCAAACATGTAGCATAGGTTTAAATCTATAAACAACTAATTCTACATAAATTCGACTTTCACCTAGGCAAGGATGATGAAAAAAATCCCATCTTTGAACTAAAGAAAGATTACATTCTCAAATGTGACAGAAATTTATTTAGACAAAGAACTTATTGAACGTGAGTGTTTCAAAGGATGACGACACGGGATTGTAGTTTTCTGGACTTCATCGGTGGTGGACAGTACAACTAAGGTTGTCAACGGTACAGTGGTTATCAGTTCAAATGAGAGAAATGAGAGAGTGAAAGAGTCAGGGTTCTTTGAATGGGGGATTGGAGGGTGCAATTTTCTTTTTGGTCCTTTTTTTTCAATTTCATCTCTCTCTCTCTCTCTCTCTCTCTCTCTTTTTCTAACACTCTACAGATTTTGGTACAATTTCTTCCATTGGGTCAAATCTCATTTAATTAGGACATGTAGGGTATTTGAAATTATCTAGTGGGGCAAATATATCTAAAATTGACATTCTTGCAATGCCTAAAAAAAGTGACATTTTCGTAAATGTCAAGAGAAAAATTGACAACCTCTACAATTTCCTCTTTCTTATTTCACATGTGTCTCTAACCTTCCTTCAAATTCTATAGTATTTATGAAATAAACAAGGTTCGATCCAAATAACACCCTGAGGAGTGAATAGATGTAATGTGTGAAACTAAAACTTGATTGACAATAATTACAACAAGTCACAAATTATTGAATCTAGATAAACTGAAAACAATCTAAACCCTAGCAATCAATCAAGCAATTGTATCAAAACTGAAAAATAAAGAACATTAAGAATTATTTACGAAGAAAAATTCTTGAAGAACTCTTCAAGAGGAAACAAAGACCTCCAAACACCCTGTGCCAGTAAAAGATCCACTAGGAAGGATTAAACTTACAAAATTGGTACAAATACAAATAAACCTTAGTAGGCTCTGACCCCCAACCTATAATCATCAAAAGAACTCGGTTGTATGTTCCATCACTAGCTCCAAAACATTTGAACTTCTTTTTTCCTCATGGATCACTAAGAAAGAAATCGTTCTTCACCAATTGAAACTCTGATCACCTCTCTGGATCTTCAGAACTTTAAAAGATATTCGATAAAGGTTTATCGGTATTTTGATCTTTTGGATTTTTGATGTTTAGATGACGTAGTTGAGATAAAAGTATTGTGGAATGAATAATTGATCCTTAATATATTCTCTTGGATAAATAATGACTTAACACAAAATAGGGATGAATTTTCCATTTGGTATTTATAATATAGAGAATTATGGGTTGTTTGGGCCATTTGGTATTTATAATATAGAGAATTATAGGTTGTTCGGGATTGCAAAAAGGCCGTCTCTTCGGTGGCCAATGGGCGATCCGATTATGAAATAATCCCTCGAGTGCCCTTCAGGCGGACATCGAGCTCTCTCTGAGTAGTCATTAATTATTTTTATCATATCTTTCTTTTTCAATATACAATTGAGTTAATTCAAAGTGCATTGGAAAGACAACTCAAATAGCTATAATTCTTCTTTACAAAGAAATATCATTTTTTCCAATTCGAATATTTTCTATGCAAAAAATGGGCCTCAACCCAGGACTGAAAATTTGTAGAATAACCTGTGCAATACTTTGACACTCCTTTAACTTCTAATTGCATCCCTTTGATCTTATGTGATCCTCAATCCTTGTTATGCACTCAAGTGGCATTCTTCGAATGCTTTTGGACATTTCATAATCTTTTTAGCAAATTTTGATTTCTTCCAAAGACACTTTCAACATCCATAAACTCAAACCCAAACCCAAATTCTACTCGATTAAATAATTATTGGATTTGGAACTTGTCAACACTTTTAGACCAAAAAATTTATATCCCACTACCTAATTTCGTGTAAAAAATTGTAATTGGCCACATATTTTAGAGATGATAACAATTTAGAATGTAAATTAAAAACTTCATTAAAAAATAAATAAAGCCAGCAAGCCCCCTCCCTGTTCTCTAGTTACCCCGCTCATTCCCCAATCCCCAAATTGAGTCATTCGAAAGCATTATGATGATATGGTACCCAAGAAGTACATGATTAGCATCTTTCACAAAAATAAAAATAAAAAAATTAAATAAATGTTGGTTTATACAGTTGAGGCCAGGATAAAATAGAGAAAAAATTCATCACTATCACATTGCAGACTAGATACAAGTAAACCGGAACAAGAAATGAATTTACCATGTGCGGTATGTACACAATTTTTGAACCATGCAGACGAGGTGAATATACATAAATGAAGTTGAATACCTTGATATTATGATTCAGTTTGTTAAGATTCTTTCTTTTGTTGAAACTTGTAGACTATTGGAAATAGTAGACCATTGAATTGTTTTTTTAGCATTATGTTCGGAAGAGGCCTGGAAATCAACATGTTAAAGAGGAAGGAGAGAGTTATAGAAAGAGATTTTTCGAGAGTTTGTACATAGTCTAGGCCATGTATCAAAATAAGAGAGGATGGTGTTTCATTGGAAACACCATTTGCTTTCAAGATGAGAACAAGCATACGAAATGGATGGAATCTATGAGGTAAGCTATACAGCCAAAACAACAAAAAGTACATACCCTTTTCTTAAATGCAAAATGCAATGTTTGAACTTATGTTGTGGAGCAAATTATAATGTCAAAACCTAGGCTATCTACACCTATAAGAGCAACTTCCTGTTACAATTTCAATTAAAACAAATTAGCAAAATAACTTATTTCCTAAAAAATAATTTTCTATTAACATGTAATGGCCTTCTCTTCTAGTGTAATTCCCACAAAGTATCATTGAAATTCCATGTAGCAAGATAGCTTTGAACTAGTTATTCCTTGCTATGATATCTTTGAAGACACACATGCAAGTGTTATGTGTTTCATAAGTTCCTCAAACTTGCTTGAAACTAATTTGATCATGCTCTTATCCTACTCCGAACTTTTAATAGAGAAATTTTAAATTTCTATTGAGACGACACCACCTCGAAGTTCATCTAAGTGAAATTCTTCCAGTATTTTTATTACTTTTATAGATATTTTACTTGGTACTGATATTCACTAAGAGCTTAAAGCCCAATCCTCCTTTTAAGTAACAATCAGTATTATATAATTAAGATAGAGTTTTTGCGAAAATTATAATGCTGAAACTATATCCACTTATCAATGACTTGTTGTTACCATTTGAAATCATGTATTACTCTTTTAGTAATGATAGGTAGAGTTGCCGTCATTGATGGATCTTTTTAGTTTCGAAGTTATAACTCCATCATACTCGATGTAGATATAAATATATTTAATGATTTAGTTAAATGATCTGCAAAATTTTCATTTGACCTGATGTAATTTAGGGAAATTATTTCACTCTTGATTAATTTTATTACGTAGCAATATCTTAAAATCCCATGTCTAGACTTTTTGTTGCATACCTCATTATATACTTTTGCTAATGTGGCTTGACTCTCAAATAAAAAAATAAAATACCGAATTTTTATTCTCTGGTACCAAAGATATCTCATATAGAAAATCCTTAAACCACTCAACTTCTTTCTTGGTGTTAGCCATTGCCACAAATTCTTATTCCATAATTGAATGTGTTATGCAAGTTTATTTCTTAGACTTCCAAAAATCTACACATCCTCCAAAAATAAACACCTAACTTGAAGTAGCTATACTTTCACTAGTGCTAGATATTCAACTAGAATTAGTAAATTCTTATAATATAGTCGAGAATTTGGAATATTGTAGTTTTCTTTATTTAAACAAGAACTCTTCCAATAGCTTTTCAATATTCCTTGCTTGAATCACTAGTAAACCTACTGAGTTTATTAATTGCGAAGGCTATATCCAGTCTTATGCATTGAACTACATACATAAAACTCCCTATAACACTTGTATCTTTAGATGAGTAATAACTCTTCCATCATTCTTTATAATTTTAGAGCTTGGACCAAAGGGGTTCTATACTCTTTTATGTTCAGCCGTTTGAATTTATTTACACATTCTCTATATAATGTGATTAACTCAAATAGTAGCCACCACTAGTATTTGTAACTTTGATACCCGATATTGTATCCACTTGTCCAAGATCCTAAATATTGAACTTCGAAGATAGAAACCTTTTTGTTTCTTTTTTGTCCATGTGATTAATTAAAATCAACATGTTATCAACGTATAAGCAAATAAATACAATATATTTATCACACACTTTAGAATATAGACGTTTATCTAAACTATGTATGAAACTAAAAGAAATAATGGCTAAGTCAAATTTTTTATGCCATTTTTTATGCTT